ATGAATAAGAATCTGTGCTTGTTTTCAGACAAATGAGAAAATAAGACTTGACGTTTTGGAAGAGGCACTGCCCTTTTCTGGTACAGTTTGTGCCACTGAAGTCAGTGACTGCAGGTAATGCCTTCCAGGCAGTGTGAACTCTAGTAGGTGCACTCTATGCTCAGCAGCCCTTGAAAGAGCATCAGACATCTTTGAGATGAGCATGAGCAGATGCGCTCTGTACTTGTTCACAGAGTTTGAGACTGCAGTAATATTTGCCAGTAGTAAACAACATCTTCTGATGAAAGTCCAGGAACCCTTTATTGTCTTGCTGCTCTGTGTCACTGACAATCAATGTTCGTAGAGTTCTCGCTGGTACCAAGAGCACCTGCTTCCAAAATGCAGGTACTCCAGGGAGTTGAATGGTTTGACTGATACCCTTTACTGTTTGGCTAAAGAGGGAAGGCATTGAGGCCACAGTTGTGGAGAGAGGTGTGCAAGATGTTGCAGGTGAAGGGGAAATTGTTCCAAGTGTTTCTGGTTTTGCATTCACCAAAAAGTTGAGAGTGAGCCATATTCACAGTCTTTATTTGAGGAAAAGCCTTCTGAAAGTTTCTATGAAGCTGAGCTTCTTTTTTTTCTTTCTTTTTTATTTAAAGTGTACTTTCATCAGGTAAATGTTTTAAATTTGGGATTCATATGGGTTTGTATCAGAGCAGCCCTGTGGAGAGAGACTTGGGGGTCTTGATGGACAGAAAGCTGGATGTGAGCCAGCACTGTACTCATGCAGCCTGGAAGGCCAACCTGAGCTGCATCAATGGAGGGGTGGCAGCAGCAAGAGGGAGAGGATTGTCCCCCTCAATTCTGACCTTGTGAGGCCCCATCTGGCCTCACATTCAGGCCTGGAGGCCGCAGCACAAGAAAGATATGGAGCTGTTGGATTGTGTTCAGAGAAGGGTCACAAAGCTGATCAAAGGGCTGGAGCACCTCTGCTGTGAAAATTTGAGCTGAGGGCTTGTTCAGCTTGGAGAAGAGAATGCTCTGGGGGCACCTCATTGCTGCCTTCCAGTACATGAAAGGAGCATACAAGCAGAAGGGGAACCAGCTTTTTACATGGTCTGATAGTGACAGGACAAGGTGGAATGGCTTAAAACTAAAGAGATGAGATTTAGGTTAGACATTAGGAATATGTTTTTTGCTCAAAGTGGTGAGGCCCTGGCACAGCTGTGGATACCCCATCCCTGGAGGTATACAAGGTCAGGCTGGATGGGGCCCTGGGCAGCCTGAGCTGGTGGGGGGCAGCCCTGCCCACAGCAGGGGGGGTTGGAGCTAGATGATCTTTAGGGTCCCTTCCATCCCAAGCCATTCTATGATTCTATGATTTTATGATTTAGTGGAGGTGAGTCAGACAAAACAGAAGTGGATAACTTCCTTCAAACATCTGACCTTAAAGACTGTGCTAAACTCCAGTGAAGTGAAGGTGTAGATCATTAGGATATTTATTTCCCTATCACATTTTGCCTAATTTTAATGATTTTCAATATATTATAAAGTTCTTACAGTGGTAGGTGTTAGATTGTTGTCTGTTTGTGGCAAATCCTTCTGTGCAGCTCAGGCAGATTGATTTTGATTTCATTATCTTTGTGCAGAGGACCTGTTGATTTGGGCGTTAGCCTGATTTCCTCGTAATTATGAGATATAACATAGGGTGGATCTGGCTCATCTCACTTAAGGCAGCCAGCAACATTAACTGGTACTCTTGGGAAGTTACTCTGGTCTGTAGGAATCTGTGGCACTGCCCACAGCGATGCGCTTAAGGGCTTTCCTTCTTGATTTTTAAACCACTAGCTCCCATTGCTATCGTTTGTGTAATTCAGAAATTACTGTGCTGAGCATTTAACGCTCCCACAGAACGGTTTGTTCTCCGCTTGAAATCCCACATACCAAGCGCCTGCCTGAGGCAAAGACAAAAATCTTAGCTTTGATACTCCAAAATGGGCTGCGTAAATCCCGTGCAGCTGGTCTGCGTGAAATGTGCCCAGTGACAGTACGCCACGGAGAGGATTGCAAGGGTCCCTCTTTCTGGGTCTCTCGAATGCTGGTAGGGTCTTACTGCTTGTGCTGTGCAAGGCAGTGACAGCGGTATCAGAGTGCTCAGTGCTCAGGGTGCGATCACATGCAGCTCCCTCAGGCATATGTGTGGACAAAACAGATGCATAACTGGGCCACGTTGCCTTCTTTTGTATATTTAGATATGCTTTGATATTTTCCAACTTTGGAGCTGTGGTTAAAGCCTCAAAGGGAATCCAGGAGTCCACAGCAGCTGAGCCTATGTTTCTAGCACAGGGCGTTCCTGCCGTGCTGTGAATGTGGTGAGCAAATGGTGTCAGTGATCATGAACTGCAGTGTTTGTCAAGGGAGATTCTCTGAGTCTTATTTAAATGTGAAAGCCAACACAGTAGCACTGACACTTGTGCGCATTTGTGGTGAGGTCAATGACTGTTTGGATTTGAGATTGTTTTTTCTGCCTGTGCCATTCTGGCCACCAGCTCTGCTCCTTGAACTGACTCTACTTTGCTTCTTTCTGTAATATAACCCAGCTGGGACATGGTCCCAAGTGGAAAGTGACTCAAACCAATCAAACCTCAGAAGGTCACAAAAGAAAAGAGATGCAGTTCAGGGAAATAAATGTTAGAATACAAAGTTAGGCAAGTTGTGAATATGAGCAGCTTGTAGCAAGGCCGTGTTTTCCCCTAACAGTGCATTGAAGCACTTTGGAAAGCCTACTTTTGCTCATGTTTTATGGACTGCTCCTGGCAGTGTCCTGCAAGGCCACCTGTGTGAGTCTTGCTCTGTGCTCAGGCTGGAGAGAGCTCCCTGGTTCTCCTGAAACAGGCACTAGGGTCACTGCCAGGAGTGAGACCAAATGTGTGAAACTGTTGTGTAGAGCTCGGTGTGGCAGCACTCAGGAAGGAGAAATCATGGAGGCTTTCATTAGCCCAAACCAATCGTAAGATGCTGAGAGTACAAAAAGAGATTTGTACACGTTGCTTCATAAATCAGCTTCTGGCAAAAAAAGATAAGAAGAAAATTTTCTTTGGAGCCAGCTGAGCCAATAACTGCTTCTGGCAGGATTCCTGCATGCTTTCCAGATCATTTTGTCATGGCCATTGATTGAAATAAAACACTGGGCACATGGACCACTGGCCAGAGCAAGTATGTGGCCACTGTTGTGATGTCTGGGCTGACAGACTTCTCTTAAGGGGCTCCGAGGGATTTTGTCTGATGTGTCCCAGAATGGGATCGTCCATGTTTCTGTGGAAGGATGCTTGTGGTCTACAATCTGGGATGCAAACAGGACTGAGGGACATGTCTTGTGAGGCTTCAGTAAGGCCATGGTAAATGGCAGAGGGAGGGTAGTGAGGTTTGCCATGTGTAGCTTGTGACTTGTAGCTTGTTTGCTTTGAAGCAGGAGACAGGAAGATTTTTTTGCCTTTTTAAAGGAAGATCGGTGCAGAGCAAAGATAGGTGAAAAGTTCCGAGGAAAACTAAACAGAGAGGCAGCACTAAGAGCAGGCCAAATCTTTCACTGGTGTATATGAGCATTACTCATACAACTTAAAGAGAGTACATGATTGAACTGAGCATGTACCAGCTGAGGACCTGGCCCATAATGTTCTTTATAAAGATCTGATTCCTCCCCAAATAGTTTTTCCCTCTCTCTTCAAAGAGGCACCTGTTGTTGGAGGAGCTGGTGATGATACTGGATTAGTGTACATGCGGTCAGCCCGCTTGGCCTCAGCCCTTTGGACCCAAAATGAACTCCAGCTGCTGTGCCCGGAGCAGGTGCTTCATCCAGCCTGAGCAGCTGTTTGAATGCACAGTGTCCTGGCCAATAGGCGGGGTGAGTCCTCTGAACTACCAGGGGAAGAGCTGGTCAGCAGGAGGCAAGGAAAAGGCACTGTGCCACAGAGTTGTGCTTCTTATACCCAGCGTTTAGCAGGGAGACAGTGTTCCAGCATATCATGGTGGAAATGGGAAACAGTGGCTGGCATTCTGCATGCAACAAGCCTGCATGACCCAGTGATGGATGCTGGTTCCCAAAATGAGAGACCAGCAGGACCCTGACAAATGCTGGATCTGTAAGATGCTGAATCTGTCTTGTCAGTTACGTGGCCTTATGTGAGACTGCTGCTGGCATCTAACAGTTGTTCAGTGTTTACAGCCATTGGTTCAAAGCTTTAAAAGCTGCCTGGCAGAGGTGAGATAGGTGCAGAGCAGCATGCAGGGTGACACCTGTGAGGTGTGACAGCCAAAACCAGCAGCAAGGGAAGATGACAAAAGCAGAGGGAAATGGGTTAAGATGCAGCCACAGGAGTGCAGGGGACTGTGCCAGGTCAGTGGAGGGTGAGGAGACGTGTGGGCATTCAGAGATAGGGAAGATGGGAAGGCAGCAGCCAGAGTTTGAGGAAGGAGTATAGAAAGGCAACGCCAAAGGTAGAGCAGTGGTAATCCGGGGAGGGCTAGACTGAAGGGAGCAGGGCAAAGGATGCATGTTTCTTCTTTCTACATTGCATATGGTTTTGGTCAGATCCTATCAGCCTGGCTTCTCATTCTGCGTGCCTTTGCTAATTGCTCAAGCAAGCTCTCAGTGAACTCCCATATTTCATTTTTCATTACAGTGTGGCGCAAACCCAGGAGAAAAACATGAATAGTAGAGGCCTTTCTTTGTCAGGAAATGGGATTTCCGCAGGTGCTCAGTTGCAAATACTGTGCATGCTTCTAAGGCTTGGCATATGGCATTGCTAAATCCTGATTCAGGATGCAAGAATGTCTCGTGGCCCCTGCCATGTAAACTGTTGTCCGCCCATGTTTGGAAGTCAGCCCTCAGTGATGGCATTGGACAAGTATGGGTGAAATGAGCAGCTTGACTTCAGCACGGAGCAAGACTTGTTGAACACTGTAAGTACAGGTGGCCCAATTCACATTTTGAATAATGAATATTACGACTTTTTGTGCAGCTACTGGTAAGAAGTTCAACAGCCCTTCTTCAGCTCCTTTCTGCCATCCCAGGATTTGAAAGAGTGGCGAAGTATTTCATCCCTTCACAGGATTGGGTAAGCTTAGTAACTGTAATGTTCATATGGAATTACATACTAAAACTCCAGATAGATGCATTGATTTAAGATCATCTATGTGGTTGCAGGGAAATTATTGCCATTTTATTTTACTTACCACTTGGATTAGTTAGGTTATCCAGCTGACTTCAGTTTGCTCTTTTGAACTAAAAACTGCTTGTCCTGCTACAGACCTGTACAGTTTCTTTCCCAGTGTAGTTCTTCTATCAGGTATTCCTCCTGTATTTATTGCTTCCACATTAACATTAGAAGCTTAGAGAAATAACGTCAGAAGCTGGCTCTCTCTACACGAAAGAAATACTTAAGGCTTTTAGAAAAATAGATGCATTAGAAATAGGTGGTATCTGCTCATTCTGTGCTCACAGCCTTTGGGCCTGTCACTGGAAAGAAATGCTGTGTGTGACTTAAAAGTGCGTGAGGTCCATGTGTGGAGAAGGCAGCCATTCTCCTGTTTATCATCCCTGTGTTTTAACCGCTGCAGGCTTATCAGCAGTAGTTCCCCAGTGTCTCCTTATCTGCCCAGTGGCATGGCTGGGTGCTACACACCCCCAGTACTTCTTCACTGGGGATGGAGTGGTAAGTGTTCCCCAGCTTTCTTGCATTGTGGTATTAACTCAGCGTAGTGGAAGTTCAACTTTCTACTCCTTTTAGTGTGGTAAATATGAAAAAAAGCTCCCCACCAAAAAGACCCACACCAAATGCCATTCTCAGAGCAGCCTGATCTGCATTTAAATATGGCAGTACATATAATCTCACTTCCCAGAGATTTTTAACTACTTCAATTGTGGATAGGATTTTTTTGAGCACCTTCCCGATGCTGATTTAAATGGAATTAACATTGCAGATCTGAGCTGGTGTGAGGAACAGAGTGAAGCATTTTAGATGTCATAACTTATTAATTGCTGGATTAAGACAAAGGAAGAAAAGAGACTTTTAGCAGCCCTCCGTGTTTTGGGCATCTGGAAGACAGAGTGTTTGACGTCATGTGAGACCTATGTTATGCTGTTGAGGAATTTGCAATTCAAGATCAAAAATACTGTAAGTGCCCTTTTACCATACAGCCGACAATTAGTTTGCTGCCAGTAAGAAAAACAGTCATTAAGTGGTAAGTGAAAGTAGTATCAGAAATGGACTCTGACAGAGTGGCAACGCACAGTTAGGCTGAGGGACATTCTTCACACCTGCTGCGGTGCATAACAGTAGCTGGCTGAGTTAACCCATGGCTCTACAAGCAGAGCATTGTGCTGTGACACAGCCTGGACAGCGATTGAATTACACACCGATTAGGTCCTGGGCTTCTCTCTGTCAGTGTGGACAATGAAGAATCAGAGAAGTGGACATGAGAGCTTTAGCAGGCCTTGTGCTCTCGCAGGGAGGAGGATTAGTTTGTAAATGGTAAATTGTGTTGGGGCCAGCAGTCGTAAAACTGAGCTCTGCCCTTCTGCTGCCTCAAAGGCACAGGCTTTGCAGAAAACCCCTTCTCCCCCCTGCTTCGACCGCCTGCTGTGATTTGGGGAGGGGTGGACATGTAGACTCCGCTCCTCCTTTTCTCTCCCAAAGAAGGCAGAAGGTGCTGGTGCATTCATATGAACTTTGCCCATCACTGTCTCTTTCTATCTTCTGTCAGAAAGGGCATGGGATTAAACAAATCAGTCTTCTGCCATTTCCACATGGTTGCAGAAGTTTGTGATTTACCTCTCATACTGAGGTGCTGCTGGCTTGTTTACTGCCTGGTGATGGTGTCCCTAAGAGCTGATTTAACCTGAAGTATAAACTTATTCAGGAGGTCTACGAGAGGTTGAAGAGTTGCTAGTGTTGCATCCTTTCCCTCTTGTTATCTGGTCCCACGTGACTGCAGAGCCTGTGCTGTGCTCTTAGCTCGCCCTGCAAATGCTTCTTGCAATGGAAGTAAGTACAGAGCAGGCACAGAAGACTTCACATGTGATAACAATATTCTTTGGGTTTATTCTTGCTTTGATTCCACTGGGACCAGTTGCTCTACACACAGGTGTTAAAGGTGGCAAATCCTCTTACATCCTCTTCCAATTTACGTTGGAAAGTTTATGGCACATCAACTGGTTTGTTTTTTTTGGAGAGGCTGAGCTTTTATTGTTTTAAGAAAAGCAGGTTAAAAACAAACAGGAGAAACAACTGCATCACGTGTTGTGGTTGGGAGTGCAGAGCATTTGCGTTCCATCTGATCTTGTGCTTCCACTCCCTGCACATACTGAATGCAACAGCTACTGACACAAGTGTAAGCACAGAGATGGGCAGGAGTAGTTTGCAGTGCCAGACATTTTCCTTATGGGCTCATCCAGTTTTCTAGAACCAAAGATTTCCCTATGGTAAAGCTGACATCTTAAAGGATTGTAGGAGGTAGAAGGATGTGACTGCACTTGACCTGAACTCGGTCTGTGATTCTGTAGCTATCTTGAAGTTTGCCAGTGAATAATGAAGTATATGATAAACAAAAATATGACTAATCAATCTGCAAGCACAAAAAAAAAAGAAAAAAAAAAAAAAAAAAGTCTAAAAAATCCTGTCTTTCTTTAAAAATCCTTACCTTTCAAATAAGCTGAATGCCTATTGACCCTGTATCATCACAGTGAAATTCAACAGGGATGTTGACTAATGGACTAAGAATACAGATCTGATTGCATATGTGGAAAACTGTTTTCTTCTGGTATTCTTTGCTACTGTAATAAACCATACTATCTCTCCCTCTAGACTTTATCTCACCTGTTTATAGTGTTGGCATTTTTCTTTTTCAAGCTGGGAAGCAAGTAATACCAAAATCCTGTAAGATTGTAAATGGGGCTTTCTGGTTATGTCATTTAAAAATAATTCTTTGTGTTCTCTAGTTGGAACTGAGAAAAAAAAAACAAACAAAAAACAACATATTTCATATTCTTAAAAGCAGCAGCAGATTTACTGTAATGCACCAGTTCAGAGCAATTTGTTCATACACTGCAAGTTCCAGAAAACCCCTCAAATTCTTTCAGCTATCTAATAGATGGAAAATTACCAGTACCTCCCAAAAGGTGCTAACAACTGTGTGTGATATGTAGAAGTTGGCTTGGGTTGGTTGATTTTCCTTTTTCCTCTTTTTTTTTTTTTTTTTAAAGCTCAATAAAAAGTCATACATGGGATGAATTCAGCTGTTGTTCAACACAGTCAGTAGGGATTGCTTATGGTTCGCTTTCAAAAACAGAGAAATAGAGAAAAACAGAGAATTATTCTAAGTAGCCACTGTTTTGTTCAAATGGAGTATTTTGAAGGTATGTTTTAAAGAAAAACAATGAAAAATAGTCATTCAGTAGAGCTGGTACAGGATTGACAAAGGTTAACACCGCTGACATCATGCTGGAACTGCATAGCATTTTGTCAGTGGTTATTAATGCTCTGCTGCTGGGAGACAGACAGTGCCAGCTGCCAGTTGGTGTGATGCTTCTCTGTGGGTGCGCCTCAGCCTCTGCTCCAAAAGGCTGTGAACGTCTGAGGATCTGCTCCCTGCCTAGTCATCACTGCTCTGGCACAGGAGGAGAGGAGATGGTGCTACTGAGCCATGTTCAGAAGGCACAGATGACTTGTGCTACTCAGATGTTCAAGACTAAAGACCTTTGGAAGGAAATAAACCTGGAAGTTCAGACAAACATGAGAATTGTGTCATCAGACTTGGAGGAGAAGCCTATGTTATTTAAGAGTGCCTTAGATTTTTGGACACCAGAGGAAAGAAGTCAGAAATGGCATGGAGTGAAGGAGAAAAGCCCTTGGGAGGAAGGAGGAGGAACTTTGTAATGGCAGAATGATGTTGAATGTGGAACAATTAATGATCTTTGACTACACCGTATTCATTATACATCCAGATTTGTAGGTTTAGCTCACTCACTTGGGGCTAGCTATTACTTCGTGTGATACCTTTCAATTACATCCACCATAAGGGAATGAAACAGATATGTAAAGGTGCAATACATCAGTGTAGCATATCAAATTGAGAAAGGCATTTTTAGCAGTCTGTACCAAACAATTGGTTTAAGCCAATGTTAGATTATTCCTTAAGGGTATTGTTATTATGACGAATCTGAAAGGAGCTAAAAGCATTTCAGTAGATGAAAAAAAGGAAGCTTTTATTTCCTTTGCACAGCCTGGAACCAAAGTAGGATGGTCAGCTAGGCTTACACAGCCCTGCTTCATACCATGCAAGCACTGTGGTCATTGTCAGCAGAATGCTCAAAGAAGCTGTGAGTGCAGAGGGACCAGCTCATCGGGCTGCTCCACATCTGTAAATGCTGAAGTATGCTAGGACTAGGGAAAGATCTGGCTGCATCCATCTAATAGGCACCAGCAGGGTGTGGGGGTTTTTTTTGTTTTTTTTTTTTTGCTCCTGTTTGGTTTCTGTAGAACAGATTTGTCGTCGTAGATTTAAAATGCTATGTATGTATGTTCCTACTAAAGCCCTCACAGTGCTAACTCAGATGATGAGATTTTGAAGGAATCATTTGCGCACCAGTGATTTTTCTTAAGATAATTACGCCACTTAAATGGTAAACTAACATATGTCATCTGCATTATTTTCAGTTTATACCCCAAAAGAAGCAGGTATTTCATATGGCAATGCAGGGTCATGGAGGAGTTGACAGCACTGGAATTGAAACAAGGTATTTCAAAAAGACTGTGACTCTCTGAAGTGTGGACATTGAGAGGCAGCCCCTCTTGGTTTTGACTTTGACGCTGGCCCTGATTTGAGCAGGAGGTTGGACTAAAGGACATCTCAGCTTCAATTATTTTGTACTCAGAAAGGAAACAGTCTCCTAATTCTGGTTCAAATAATTTTATTAAACTCCTGTGAAATCCATCCAACCTAGGTTTTATGTTACAGTTTTCACTTGGATTTTTATGTCTTTATTTACCATCTGAGGATCAGCATTATGGAGAAGATCGCAACTGTAGTTCTCATAGAGGAATATGTAAAGGAAAAA